AAATTTTTAGCCCACTTTATCATACATTCTTTCACTTGTTCTTCTGTTTCAAATTTCAGTAGAAGTTTATACATTTTAGCAGTTACATGTTCATCATTTGAACATAATTCCATTTCAAGCTCAGTCTTACAATGTTCAAAACCATAAACTCTTTTGTCTACTTTAAATCTTTCTAATAAAATGCTCTGATTAAAAAATGACTACATATATGGGGGGGGAGGGGAGAGAGGGGGATTATTAGAAATTCAAACTCTAAAGAGATTATACAAAATCATATATAATTAGAAAGATTCCAAATATTTGATTTTGTATAATCTCTTTAGAGTTTGAATTTTTAATAACCCCTCTCTCCCCTCCCATATATATATATATAGTCATTTTTTTAATCAGAGAATTTTTTCACAAGATTTGAAGAAACATGAAAAACCAGAGGATAACTATTTCCCAACTTCTGCATTAAGGAATGCAAATTAGGTCAATTCATATTAAAATGTAAACCAAAAAAATATTTTTATCCTTAGTTAAATATCAAATAGTAAAGAAGCATAAAAGTGGAGATGAATAGAGTAGGACCTAAAAATTATTCCACTGTTTACTATAGCATTTGCATGCCAGGAATAGACCTGGTGATGCACATGGTCTAATCACATGCTCAGCTAGTTTCCCACTCATTGCTAGGTAGTGATCTCTTATTCTGTAATAAAGCTGCTTGTCTTTGGATATCCATTTATCTGACTCAGCATGAATGGATGGCTGGACGGGGGAAATAACGGCCAGGTTATTCTTCTAGAGCCAGACAGAGTTCTTGCTGCAAACTGTTATTCATCAACACTGGAGCAGTTCACGTCTGGGAAACTGGCAGCTTAATGTTCCTTGGAAATACCATGAAACTGAGTGAAATCAGACTTGCACAAAGAAAACCCATCCTTTCCTTCAGGGAAAAGATCCTGAAGGAAGCTGTCTTTCTGGAAGATAAGATCTCTAAAGGTCAGACGCTTAGTGTTTCCTCCAAGCTCTGCAATCGTGCAGTTCTGTGGCAGTTTGACAGCGCTCTTGACTAATGACAGAAGAGAGGCAACAATCCAAAAGCAAATAAAAATTCTCAATAGGAAGGAGTGGATGAGTGAGCTGATAAGCACCAATGTTGAGCAAAAACATTGTAAAAAGAGTTGAAATTTCCTAGAGCATTTATTTCAATTGTAAAATTCTCATTTCTGAGAATAAAGCAGCAAGAATTTCTCACTTTGGAATATCTACAGGTAGTCCCTGGGTGAAGAACACCCGGTTTACAGATGACCCATAGTTAAGAACGGAGCCTATTGTAGCAAAATTCAAGTGAAATACACAATGTTTTGAGTTAAATACACAATGGTTTGAGTTCATACACAATACTACTTATACAGTATTATACAATAATACTCTTACAACTTACTTACAAATTCAGCCGAAGGACAGACCTTGGGAATGGAACTCGTTCTTAAACTGGGGACTACCTGTATATGTTTTTTAAAAGCCTTTTGAAAATGCCACAAAGTGTTGGAAAACCCCTGTTGTAACTAAATAGTAAGTTCTGTTCTGATTTTTTGACAAGGACATGATTCTGTGAGCAGAAGGAGCTGCAATTGTCACAGCATGATGATCATATCCTTCATTGGATTTTTAAGAGACTAATGACAAAAAGTCTTAAGGGATCTATTAAATCTATCAATGTCATCCTATTTTTATAATAAAGCAATTTATATGGTTCAAGAAGTTGGAACAGAACACTTAAATTGTTGGGAAAACAGTTTTGTCAAACAAACAAGAGAGATACATTTTCATAACAGAGTTTTATTCTTTCATGCTTTTTTAAATGTTTGTGTTGCTACTGAAAAGCAGAGGTTGAATTCCTGACAGAAATTCCTTGATTTCCTGACAGAACAATGACCCTGTTAAATCTTTGTTTTGGTCACCAGGTTGTTTAATAGTAATATTCAATGAATTAACATATACTGCCTTAGTAGTGGACTAGAATGTGTGCAGTACTAATCATTGCCTGGAGGAGAAGAAGGCAAAATAAATTGTGCCTTTTGTAGAGCAATGCTTAGATCCTGAGGAAATGAAGGCAGTTGTTTTCAAGGCAATATTTTCTCTCCATGAGCAGAAAATGCACAACGTAATTTCTGCAGCGAAACATGAAACTGGTCCTGCCTTTCCTAGGGCTATCAGATCTGGTTTGCAAAAATCCAGACAACTCTGCCATCTAGTGGGTGTCTGGATTTTTGCAAACCAGATCTGATAGCCTTCACTTTCCTCAGCAGCAAAGGCTGATCTAGTTTACAGAAGTATTGCATATGTATTATAAAAGAAGTGTTTCTACTATGGCATAAATCAACTATGTTTGGTTGTTTGGCACAAAATGTGTGGTAAGAAATCAGGACTTCCCCACTGTTACAAGTCACAACTGCACAGCCAGATGTTCTGTCTCAAAGATCTTAGAAACAAGTCTCAAAAACAGAATGGAGGAATATATCCAATGCCAATTGAAAGCCTATTCTGCCCCCTTCTGGAAGCTAGTGGAAAACATATCATTCAATTATTTGCAAACTGTTGAACAATGTAGATGTGTGTGTGAGTGTGAGAGAAAGAGAGTGAGTGTATGTGTTGTAATCCAGAAATATGTAGTGAACTGTCCACTGTCTTATCTTGGTAGCTTTTATAGATGCTATGAAACATACAGCCCATCAGCTTCAAGCAAACAAGCAGCACAGCAACAAAAGAATTACTGTACAGAAAGAAGGGGGAACACAAGAGACGTGACTGAATTTGAAATCTACTGAACATCTTTAGGCACAATTTATAATTTACTAGTGAAGTATGATTCAGAATCCGAACAAGTTAAAGATTGTATGTCAAATGGATAAAGAACTTGAATATTTAGTCATAGAGATACAACAGTAGGAATCTGAATAGAAGAACATCAAATACTTTGAATATTATACTTGGAATTAGTATTTGATGTTTTATCTTTGATGTGTTACTCCAGGTTTGACTGCTAAAATAAATAATGCTTTTTCCAAAAAATGTTGAAAATTTAACAAACAGGTTGGATCTTTTTTCTTTTTTTTTTCATATGTGGTGGTGATGTTGCAAAGCACAATAATACTGGGAAATGATCAAAAGTAGAATGAGACAAATTTGGAAAATTGTAATTCCATTACAGCCTGAGATATTCTTATTAAACTGTGCAAAACCATATATCCCTTCAACAGATGTGATTTTTATTGGAAAAGATTTGATTCATTCTTTGGAAGAAAGGCTAACTAAATTGTGAGAGTATGCTTCATTGTCTAGAATACCATCCTAATTGACAAGTAAATCTGATGTAGGATTTAATTGTAATTGGAAACCATTCTTGGTCTATTATGTTGTATAAGATCCATTCAAAATTTGAGTTTTCTTAGCAAAAGAATTAATCTCTAACTTACATTATTGATTTAATGTTATTGTTTATAGTCTTGTTAGTGGTTTGTGCGCTCTGTTGACCATGTACATTTAGCTTTAAGTCCCATAGGGATATTTGGATTCTGTTCAGAGAAAGAATATGAAATATTCCTCAATTTTATAAGTCTTTAATGACATACTAGAATATATACTATTTTATTATCTTAGATTCATTTGCTCAACAGTGCTTTATTATTAGTGCCTTATTTCCTGTTCATACGTATGTTTCTATATTTACTTATAATAAATTTATTTATTTAATATTTCAAGAATACTAAATAAATAAATGTGGGGGAAAAGTGGATAAGGCAAGCTGAAGGGAAAGGAGAGAGCAGATATTTTAGATCTGTGAAGCAGGATTTCAGTGCAGCTCACATATACAAAAATATAAGAGTTTGGGGGGAAAAAAAATTCAAGAAAAGTTCCTTACTCTTCTTAAAACCAAGTCCTTAGGTTATACAAATAGGTCCCAAAACACCTTGCTACTGAAGATTTACCCAAAGTAGCATTTATTAAAAAGAGCAGTGTCTCGGACAATGTGGGATCTGTTCATTGCCAGGGCTCATTCTTGATTAAGTGCCAACAAATCAGTGTTGACTTTTAGCAACCGCATGGATAATTCTGATGTGTGTAATGATAGTAAAGGTGACCATGCATCTGAGCTGTTAAGTGTTCTCCACCAGTCCTCGTCTCCTACTGCCTTGTCAGCCCTCTTCCTCTTAACTGACAAATTCTTTTTTTCAAATTTCTCTTCTGCAGAGACCTGAGTGAAAACCTTCTTCAGGCTGTGCCCAGAAAGGCATTTCGTGGAGCCACTGATCTCAAGAATTTGTGAGTTACCTTGGCAAATGGAATATTTTGCCATTGTGTCATGCTGTTGTTTTTGTGATTGATTATGTGCCATGAAGTCAGTGTTGCCTCTTAGCGACCACACAGATAGATCTTCAAGATGATCTGTCTCCAGCATAGCTTTTCAGGTCTTCCAATAGTGCATTTTCTGCTGCCGTAATTGAATCTGGTTGTTTGTTGCTGGTTGTCCTTTTCTTTCTTTTCCTTCCACCTTTCTCAGCATTATAGACTTCTCAAAAGAGCTAGGTCTTCATACAATGTGTCCAGAATTCATTGCCATTTGTGCCTGAGCAAGAACTCTAGATTGATTTGATCTTTTATCCATTTGTTTGTTTTCTTGGCCATCTGTGGTATTCTCAGGGTTCTTCTCCAAAACCAAAGTTCAAAACATCAATATTGTTTCCATCTTGCTTCTTCAAAGTCCAACTTTTACTTCCATAGAGTGTCACACGCAATACAGTTACTTGTACAGTTATGATCTTTGTAGGTGTAGACACATCATGGCATCTGAATATCTTTTTCAAAGCCTTCATGGCTACCCTACCAAGAACTAGTCTATGATGTATTTCTTAACTATCTCTAGTGTTCATAGTGAATCCTGAAAGGCAGAAGCTATCCACCACTTCCGGAGTCTTCATTGTCAATTCTATGGCTGGTTCCAGTACTGGTTCCAGTCATTTGTTTTGTCTTCTTTCTATTTAATCATAGTCCCATTTTTTCACTGTGCTCCTTGACTTTCACTGTTAAAGTTTCCAGATCATTTGTGCTTTCAGCTTTCAGCTATCAGCATAATGTTATTAGCAAAGTGAGGATTATTTATGTTTCTTTCTCCAATTTTAAACTACATCCGTCTTCTTCCAATCCAACTTCTCTCAATATATATTCAGCATATAGATTGTATAAATCAGGGGAGAGTATACAGTCTTGTCTCATTTCTTTGCTGACCCAGAGCCCATCTGTTTTGCCATGTTCCCTGTGGAATTTGGCTTACAGACCTGTATACATTTCTCATGCAGATGTTTTGGGATTCCTGTTTTTGTAAGTACATTCTACAGCTTGACATGGTCAACACAACTGAAGGCCTTTCTATAATCAATGAAGCATGAATTATTGAGTTATTTTGGTATTATTGAACTTTCTCAATTATCCAACATGCATCAGCAATAATGTCCCTTTTTCCTCAGCTTTTTCTAAAGCCAGCTTGAACATCTGGCATCTTCTTTTTCCGTGTAGGGCTCTAACCTGCATTGGATGATTATTTTGCTAGCATGTGAAATCAATAGTTTGTACACCCTGTTAAGCTCCTTTCTTTGGTATGGTTTGTAGATTGACCTCTTCCAATCTGTTGGCCACTGTGTCATTCTACACATTTGCTGCCATGCTTAGTAAGAACCTTTATTGATTCTTCTTCTGTTGCTTGTCATATTTCTATAGATATTCCATCACTTTACTTAGTCTTCTGACTTGCTAATGACTGCAGTGCTGTTCTAACTTCATCTTCTAGTGTTAGAGGTTCTTGTAAATAGGGAATATCTTCTAAGGTATCTTGAATGTTGACATCTCTACCATATAGAATTTCAGTATGGTCCTCCTGTCTTTGACCTTTGAATCAGTTACCGTCTGTCCATTGGAGTCCTTTAGCATACCAATTTGAAAATAGATTCTTCTTCTGAGTTCAGAGATCTTTTGGAAGACTTTCTTTGTTTTTCCACATCTGTTTCCATCTTCAGCATCTTTACAGATATTGTAGTATTGCTTCTTGCCTTTTCTAACAGCACTGTAAAATTCTTTGGTAAGTTCCTAAGATCTTTATCATTCTTGGCTTTGGTTTCTTTTTTCCTCTTGGCAATTTTCACTATCTGTTCTGACATTCAGTTTGTTTCCTTCTGTTTCTTTCTCTTTGGCAGTTCTGTTCACATTCAACTTTAACAATTTCTTAAATCAATTCCACAGTTCCTTTGGTTCCTTAACAATGAGATTCAGGAGTTCAAAGTGATTCCTGATGTTGTCCTTGAAAATGGTAGGTATATGTTGAAGATCATATTGTGGAAACTGGTTGGCTTTGTCCTTCCATTTCCAATCACTTTAGATTGACTTGGAATTTGCAAATGAGCAGTTTGTGATCTGTTGCACAGCCAGATCCTAGCCACCTCTTTACTGTTATAACTGAGCTCTTCTACCTCCTTATGCCATAAATATAGTCAATTTGATTTCTGTGTCCTCCATTTGATGATGTCCATGTATATAGGCATCATTCTGGTTGTTTGAAGACTATGGCAGTAATGAAGAAATCTTTGGATTAGCAGAAACTAATAAGTCATTCTCCTGCTCCCTTTCAGATAGCCTAACTACATTCCAGTCTCCAACCACATCTTGCTTGCATATTCTATTTATTTCAAATGGAACTTGACCACAAAATTCATCAACCTTCTGCATCAGTGCTTGGAGCATAAACTTGGATAATCATCATATTAAAGGGTTATCCACAAACTCTAATTGATATTATTCAGTCATTGACTGCATTGTAGACAAATATTGTCCTTACTATATCTTTCCTGGCTATGAAAGGAACACTGTTCCTTGGTTGTTTTTTTGTATCCTAAGTAGTAAACTGTATGATCTTCTCACTGAAATTGTCCAATTCCAGTTCATTTCAATTAGCTGATGCCTAAGATACTAATGTGTAGTTGATTCATTTCAATTTTCATTGTGTTGAGCTTTTCCATGTTCATGTCTCTTCATGTTCCCACTGTAATTTTGTCCTTGCAGCTTTGGATTTTCTTTTCCCACATGGCAAAATCAACAACTAGACATCCCAAAGGGTTTAATCTAGCCACTTCATAAACACCATTAGTATTCTGAAAGATCCTCAGCTCTTCTTCAATAACATGGCAGGTGCCATCAGACCTGAGTGGTTCATCATCTGACACTATATTGTCAGTCCATTTTCATTATCTATCCATGTGGTTCTCTTAGTAAAATACAGAAATGGCTTATCATTGCTTTCTCTCACATAATATGAAATTATGGTTTTGCCATTCTCACTAACCTCTCCAGTGTCTTCTTATATTGCTGCTGCCCAACTTAAGTGCCTGCTTGCTTTAGATGGGCAGCCGAGTGACCTTCATGCCTTGGGTACCCTGGTGGGAGTATATACCCTTGGCGTACATTTCTGGCATTCTTCACTCATTCCTCCCAGGAACCTCCCACCAAAATGAGGTGGCATAACAGGATGAGAGGGGTGTTGATTTCATAAGCCTATGTAAAGCAAGATAGATAGGTTAAAAACAATGGAAATGTATTAAGCAATATTTGTGGCCACTGTTGCACCCCAAATCATAATACTCCCCAATCAAACCTTCCCATCCTTGGTTCTTGCAGTTCTCTAATGCCCCTTATTCCTGACCACAGTTGTCTTGTGTTCCTTCACTTCTCATCTGCTAAAGCTGTGCTGATTTATGTATGAAACATATTACTTGTACATCTGGAATAGGTAGCAATTTCATCCTCTCTTTCTTCAAACAGGCAGTTGGACAAGAATCATATAAGTTGCATCGAGGAAGGGGCCTTTCGTGCTCTCCGTGGGCTGGAAGTATTGTAAGTATCTCTCTCAAGGAAATATACAAGATTCTACTTTGCAGTCTTCCCCAATCTCAGGGTCCTCCAAATGTGTGGATTTCGAATCCCAGAATCATTATTAGTAGTTATGCTGTCTGCAGAATTTTGGGGTTGAATTCCACATGTGGACACCAAGGTAGAAAAGGTGCTCTATCTTTTGCATCCCAGACTGAGCTACAGACTTAGAAGCCACGGAAAACAAACTCTCAGGTCACCCCCTTTGTAAGAGAATTTGTAACAGAATTCATAGAATACATGGCTTCCCTTTCATTTGTGGAGAATGAGTTAGTAGATAAATAGTGGTTGTCAAGCTGAGAAGGTGTGGCCCATACATGACTGATAGGAATTTATGTTTATGTTGAACACATAATCTGATAAGAAGAGAGTGCATGCATCTCAAGTATTAAGTGACGCGTTTCCTTTTTCTCATTCCTGCAGGACTTTGAACAACAACAACATCAGCTCCATTCCCATCTCCAGCTTCAACCATATGCCCAAACTGCGCACCTTGTGAGCACATAAGAAAATGGCTGGGTGTGGTAGGGTGGGGCGAGGTAGAAGATAATTGACTGGGTATCATATACATCATGATGAACCAGGAGTTAATAAATAATATAAGGGGTTCTGGTGGAAACTCTTACTTACACTTTTAGATTCTGCAGATTAGCTTCAAGATTAATGTTCTCACAGTGTGAAATGCCCCAACATGCTGGGTCATTATCTGGAACTCTATAGTAATGGGAGACTCATAACAGGTGGTAGCCCTCCTAGGTACTTTGGAAAAAGCTAAACAGGGACAATCCTGGTAGTTCTTGGATAGAAGAGCATCAGAAAATCTCAGGGCTATAGGCTGGACTGGGAAATTAAAAAAAAAATCTTGGCAAATACTTACTTTTGCCAATAAAACTACATGGATACACCCATGTAGACACTAAACGATTTGTGAGACACCATCATAACATGGGAAGATCTTCAAAGGTAAAGTATAGTTCTGTTCCCACAGGACATTTAATTCAATCAGTCACTAAACCAGTCAAATCTCCTTATTGGGGGTACTGGCAGCCAGCAGTAAAAAATTACCATTTGGGGAACACAGAATCCCACCCAATTTCAAGAAGTATCTGGTATCCCACAAGACCTTGCAAGAGGAGGATACTGACAAGGCATCTTTCACCACTAGCCCCTCCCTCATTGGCTTGGCCAGTGTTGCCAATCAATGCTTGAGAGGCATGTTCTGTGATGCTAGACCTTAGCAGTAAGACCTTTAATGAAGATATTTGCTGCTTTGGCTAATTCCTCTCCAGTTCTTTTTCTTTGAGGACTTGATATACAGAATTGGAGAATTGATTGGGGTTAGGTATTCTTACAACACAACTGACTGGATGGAATTATGTTGGTTAGTGGGTTAAGATGACTATCTCAAATGGCCCTTTTCTGAGTGCATTCCAGGAACAGGGGGTGTATGTTGGATGGGGGTATGCCATCACTGGAGAGGCAAACAAAAATCTGGGTGGCCATTTCAATCCACTTCTTTATGCAAGATTGAGTCCTACTCCTATAGAATCAGAATCTCCTTCCCAGAGAATGTTCCCAAGTTTTCAAGCAAATTCATTAGTTCTATTCTATCTCCTAGAACTGGCTTTGCAAATTAGAAGTAACAAGCAAAAGATGTCTTTTTCTTTCCTCCCATACCTTTCCTTTGTCTCTGCAGCCGCTTGCACTCCAATCAGCTGATCTGTGATTGTCATTTGGGTTGGCTTTCCCAGTGGCTCCGCCAGCGACCCACTATTGGACTCTTCACACAATGTGCTGGTCCTCCATCTCTACGTGGTCTAAATGTTGCAGAAATCCAAAAGAATGAATTCAACTGTGCAGGTCAGTGGCATTAGCAGAGTGCTGGAAGCTTTCTATATGGACGCCAAAAAAATGAATTTCCCTCCTAGCTTTCTGTTTAGGATCCCCAGAACAACCAGGCTGAGGTTTTTTCTGTTTTCAGATTTAAGACAGATTAGCACTTGTACCATACCAAAGAATTAATGGTAAAGCCTGCAAACTTCCCTCCTGCATATGTAGCTACACTTTCTTGTACCATAATATGATCTCAGCATTCCTGCTTCACTTTATAGGCAATGCACAGCAGAAATGGTTTCATGCTGCAAAAATTGCCTATATTTTTGAGGAGAATTCTGTTTGTCATGAGTTCTCAGGATTGATCGGATAGCACATAGCACACAAGGATCTTCATGTGAACCAGGTCCATTTAAAAATATTATTATTTGAGGCATATCAAGGATAGAAACACATTCATTTCTCTGTAAGATTGACTCTTTCAGCCAGATAATTATGCAAGTGGCATTCAACTAATGCATGCAAACAGAGCTTCAACTACTCCCCCTACCTTCTGGCATCTGCCTTCAAAGGAGGATGGAATGTAGCAAATTGCTTTATGACCTAATTACTCTACCATTCCAAGATGAATTATCTCCCTGCCTTCAATAATTGCTTCTGTTAATATAACAGCATGACTGTCCTAAGCTGTAACAAGGTGTGTAGCTATTACTAAATTCCCCAAAGAGTTAAGCAAAGGCTTCAGATAAAACTTAACTGGCAACCTCTTGCAGCCAGCACGGTGTTGATCTTTTTGGTGCCTTTGGATTGTTTCCTCCCTTTGGATGTCTGCACCAGGTAGACACATCCCGTGCCATGCTGTCTTCCTTCTTGCACAGAAATTCCTATACTGACTCCTCTTCAGCGATTTTCAATCACATTGTAACCTGCATCTCTTCAGCAGCCTGATATTGCCTAATATCTTCACTTGCTAGCTATGTTTCTTCTTTAGAACAGCTCCAATATTACTACGAGCTTCCTGCCAGCTTCTTAGCCCATTTCAACTTTTTCTTTCTGTGAAAGAAACTGTATGTGTATCAAACCTTTTCTCATTTTCTCCCATCTTTTTTCCAGTCTCAGATTATCACTACCAGTTCAGTTTGTATGTCTGGGAGATCACATGACAGGATGATAGAACATGTTTACCTTCCCTGTTCCATGACACTGCTGTCTTTTCCATCCCTTGTGGTTTCTTTACTCACGGCACTTCTCAACCATGTCGAAAGGCATATGTGCCCCTTTCTCATTACAGTTTGTACCCTTGCTCTCCCGCAACTTAAATGTTTGAACTCAGTATTAGTTCTGTTTGAATTTAAAGTGAATCTGAGAGGAATCAGTGCCGCAAGGCAATGCTTTCTTGTAGTCCCAAAGCAAATATGCACTTGAAGTCTTGCATATTTCTAGTCTACTCTCTCTCCAGCTTGCACAGGGAAGAGGTTAAACAGTGGTATAAGGACTGTATTCTTTCTTCACATCATAGAATTGAAGAGTTGACCAAATTAAACTATTGTCTCTGTGACTCTATGACTCTGTGTTGAAAGATACTGCCAAAAACTGTCAGTTAATTCAGTAAATTCCTACACTTAGGTCAAGCCCTATATTCCCCAAATTATAATTAATATTCCACAAGCAAAGATTGAGTGCTTCTGCAGTACAGATAAGGAGACAGACTTTATACAAGAGAACCCAATAACTTTCTCAGTTTTCTTTCTGCAGGCCAGGATGATGCTACCAGGATTCACATCTGCAGTTTTTCATCTGGGTCCTGTCCTGCCATGTGTACTTGTAGCAATGGCATTGTAGATTGTCGTGGCAAAGGGCTAACAGCCATCCCTGCCAACTTGCCAGAAACCATGACAGAGATGTGAGTAGGAACATGATGGGTAGGAAATAATTATGTGACTGAGCACTAAGACATTTACTGATCAGATTTCCCCTGTTGTTTACTCTTGTGGTTGCTTGATTCCGATGGTTGTGGAACAGGGAATTTAGTATTCTAGTCCAAGCACCACTTAAGTACCTTTCAGTTGTGACTTTATTTGGATATCATCCTAGTTTTTATGGGTTCCTACAGAGCTCTTCAGCGCTGGCTAGTGAGCACCATCAGAGATATCAGAGATAAAGGAAAACAAACATCAGTGACTGTAATAAGCCACAGTGATATTGGAAGGATGACATATGCAAATTATATAGTTTGGTTCTTTTCCTTCTTCCAGGGCTGCTTCCAGTTAGCATTGGTAAGGGAAGAGATCTAGCCCAGACCCTTGCTTTGTGGGGTGCCAGATGGCTTGGCACTCTGCTCTTTCCTATTTAACATCTATATAAAACCTAAAAATTTAACATCTATATAAAACCTAAAAATCTGGTGACATGGGGATAGGTGTCTTCAATATGCTAATAATACACAGCTATATATTTCAGCCCCTGGTCACTCACATGATGCTCTCAATGTTCTTTCTCATTGTCTGCTGGCTGTGAGGATTTGAATGGAGAGGAACAGGTTCAGACTCAACTCTAGTAAGACCTAGTAACAGTGGAGTTGGGGGTAATTGTATCCTGGAGATTTTTCATTTTTAGCTCTGGAGGGGGCTGCACTGCCTAGATCAGAAGTGATCACAATCTGGAGGTTCTCCTGCCTTACAGCTTCTGCTTGAGAAGCAGGTAGAAGCCGTGGATTGGAGGGGACCCATTTCTGCACACATATCTGGATTAGGAGGCCCTATTCATAGTCACTGATGTCTTGGCCATCTCTAACCTGGATTACTGCAACATGCTCTACATGGGTCTGCCCTTGAGGAGTACTTAAAAGCTACAGCTGGTCCAGAATACAGTGTTGTGAGTAGCTGTGGGTGCAGCTCATGTGGCATTGCTACTTCATGAGCTGCGCTGGCTGCCAGTGGGCTTCTTGGTGCAATTCAAGGTGCTGGTTGTCATTCATGGCATAGAGTCTGGCTATTTGCAGGACCACCTGTCTCTGATTACTTCTACCCGTCTGATAAGATCTGATAGGGTTGGCATGCTCCAGGTCCCATCACTCAAGCAGTGATGGGACACAAGAGATAATGCCTTCTGTCTCACCACATCTGGCCTATAGAATAGCATTGTCCCTCAAGATCTGGATGATCTCAATCCTGCCTGCTTTCCAAAATCTCTAAAGACTTAGCTCTCCCCAAGGGGGTGTTGGGCCAGGTAGTTTTATGAGCCTGTTTTAATAGTTCTGGTTGTTTGAATCACCTCTTGTGTTTTAATACATTTTATTTTCTCAGGTGTTATTTGTTGCTTTTAATTGGGTATACCACACTAAGTTGTGTGTGGAGTAGACAGCCATGTAAATTGCATGAACGAATCAATTAATGGTTGTCTGAATCTACCTTTTGTTTGTTTAAGTGAATAAAGTGGAATACTAATGTATAACCAAATGTATGAAAGCTTCTTTAAATGGCTTCTCCTTGTGCCTCCTCCATTCACCAAATCAGTCCTGTGTAGTTCCATTATGCAGACAAAATAAGTCCTCTACACCACTATTAATCTAAAGTATGTGATAATGTGGAGACAATCTCTAATCCATGTTGTTGGCTATTAGACATGAACTGCTATGCAGAGAACTACCCCGAATAATGGTTTTAAAAGGTCAGCATTTGGACATTTCGTGGACGTTCTATCTGGGTTAAATATAATTTGTAGCTAATTCATGTATTATCTCCAAGTAGGCACACTAGAAAAATGAATAATGTAGATTTACAGATTCAGATAACTGAGAAATTGTTTAGCGTATGATTGTTTGATTACACCCACATAACTAGCTTGCAAATGAAACTATAATGTGCTGAGTAGCAAAGTGTGCATACAGTTATATCACTTCATTAAATGTAAAACTCTGCATGGATTTCCAAAACATATAATACATCAGTTTGACTGTATAAAAAGATTATTAATTAATCTGCAAACTGAGCTGAACATTGTGCTAGTTTAACTCACATGCAGATAGGGCAGAGTTCTCCCTTCTCTTATGTACATGATTCTGTTTGCTCTTTGCAGTATCCCTACAGAAAGATATGGCTTGCTTATTTATTTATTTATTTATTTAT